AAGTATATATATATATAAAGTATATAAAATATACGTATACAGGGCAAGTAAAAAATCCCATACCGGTGAAATATCTTGAAAACTAAGCATTTTCGAAAGAAATGTTTTCTACAAAAGTTGTAGGGTTTTAAATGATCTATTCACCGATCTGATTAATATGACTTTGGATGGCGTCGCCAAGATCACGTCGATTTTTTTATATAGCACTCATTTTTGATTGCAGAATTTAATAGCCAATGTCGAAAGTTTTCCAAAACACTATAACAAAGTTAATTTTTATTGAGCACTTTTTGAGTTATAAGACTCAGAAATTACAGTATCGCCGGCATTAGAATTACGCAAGATATTCGATCAACGGTTCTTGAATGTTCAATTGTTCATGTCCTGGATAGCATTGTCAAGACTATTAGAGATTATTCCTCTTGTTTTAATTTTTATACTAAAAATCCATTTTTACGTAAAAATGAAAATGAGATATACAACCTCCAATCGGTTTGATCTTGAAAAATATTATCCAGGACATGATCCTGAACAACATTGACCCATTGAGATCAGTAAATATATTACTTAAAACCCTACAACTTTTGTACAAAACATTTCTTTCGAAAATGCTTTCTACAAAAGTTTTTGAGATATTTCATTGATCCTGGAATTTTTACTCACCCTGTATATACCGGATGTTTAAAATAAAACGTTGCAAATTTTTATTATATTTCTCGGAAACACGGCATTATTGAGAAAATTATTCAGTAACCCTACAAAAGTTGTAGAGTTCTATAAAAAGTCTATTTATCGATCTTATCAGTTTGACCTTGGGTGGCGTCACCAAGGTCAGGTCAAAGTCGCATCGATTTTTTTAATGGAATACCCTACTTTTGCTTCCAGAATCTAATACGTAGCTGATGTCGAAAGCTTTCCGAAACGCTATAAGAAGATATTTTTTTATTAAGTTGAGTACTTTTTGAGTTATAATGCTTGAAAGTTACAGTACCACTGGCATTACCCAAGGTGTCCGACCGACGACTAAAACCTCTTGAATGTTGTTCAGGATAATGCCCTGGATAACATTTGTCAAAATAAAAGCCATTGGAGATTATGATGGATAGTTGCTTGTCCAATCAATTATGGCGCCCGGCGGATTACCGACCTACGAGTCACAGCCGATTAGTTATCGACATCTTTATGTTTAATATTCTGTTTGCCGTTAGGCGCGTTTTTTGTATTCATGCCCTACCGGCAGTTTTTTTTTCTTCTCTCTAACCGTTTTTGTATACGATGTGTCGTCAAGTCTGTTTTTGACTAAATAAACCATCTTTCATCAATCATTTATTGGAATTCACTCATTCCCAACAAATGGTTATGGGCCCAGGACGTTCAAAAATATAAAAGAAAAGGACGTAAGAAGAGACGTTCAAAAATATAAAAGAAAAGGACGTAAGAAGAGACTTTAGAAGCAGTATTGAAAGATAAGTCATACGGACAATAGAAGTGATAATGTAGTCGAGAAGCTGTCCGACAGAAATTACCGGACATGGAAAACCGAGATAAAGTGGCTCCTAAAAGGTAAGGGACTACTAGGTTATGCACTCGGTGATATCATACTAAGCGATACAGCTACTACAGCCGACAGAAAATTGCACCAAACAAACGACGACAAGGCATTAGCGACTATAGGCTTGAGTTTAAAAATAGATCAACAGATACACGTAGAGGATTGCAAAAGTGCACACGAAGCATGGCAAACGCTCGAACAAATTCACGAGCCCAAATCAAGAGTAAGGATTATGCAATTGAAAAAGGCATTCTATCATCTACAAATGAAAGGCGATGAGCACATGTCTGCGTATATTGCCAGAGCGAAGGTTGCCGCCACCAACCTCAGAGACGCAGACGCTGAAGTAAAAGATGAAGACCTTGCATATGCGATACTAACTGGACTTCCAGACGATTATGAAAACTTAAATATGGCTCTAGCGAGTTTGCCGGACGACAGATTTACGTCGGCGGAAATAAAGAGAGTTCTGTTAGCTGAATACGACAGACGTCAATCCAGACTCGACGTTAGAACAGATTCGTCAAAAGAGGCATTGGTGATGAACAAAAGAAACGAAGATAAAAAGACAAAGACAACAGGTAACGAGAAATATAAGTCACTCACTTGTTTTAATTGCAGGAAAGTTGGTCACCTTGCAAGAGATTGCCGATTAAGGAAGGACGGACTTCATAAGAAACCTGGCGTTAAACAGGAAAAGAAATACGATGCACTTCTCATGTCCTTGTATAATGTCGACATCAAAGATACATGGATTTTGGATAGTGGAAGCACGCATCACGTGTGTAAGCAACGAGAGTGGTTCACCAATTTTAAAAAGGTAGATTCCGAGATAATTAATACCGCTGCGGATCCGAATAAACAAAATGGAGCGACGCTACGAGCAAAAGGTGTGGGCGATATATTTCTAAAAACGACCGTTGCAAATGTAAAAAGAAATATAGTCCTGCGAGATGTTTATTATGTCCCTAATATCAGAAAGAATTTGATGTCGGTCTCACAAATGGAGCGAAAAGGGAAAGAGTTACTAATACGGAACGGTAAAGTAAAAATTAGAAATGTCGCTACCAAACGAGTAGTATGCGAAGCATATAGGCGAAATGATTTATATGTATTAGGTGTCGAGTTGGACCCTGATGCACCACGAGAGCTCATGAAGGAATCTTGTACGTTAGAAATTGATCTGTGGCATCATAGGTTCTGTCACGTCGGCAATAGCACAATTAAGAAATTAGCGGAAGCGAATCGTGTTATCGGATTGGACGACGCGAAGATGGACAGACACACATGTGAAGCATGCTGCATAGGAAAGGCAACGAAGACCGCGTGCGCTACCTTAAAATCAAGACAATCAAGAGAAGTATGTGAACTAATCCATTCGGATCTGTGTGGTCCTATGCCCGTGAAATCAATAGGCGGTAGCAGGTATTTCATAACGTTCACGGATGATTTCTCGCGAAATGTTACGGTCTTGTGTATAAGCTCCAAAGAAGAAGTTAAAAGCTGTGTAAAAAGCTATATTGCTAGAATAGAACGCGAAAAAGACAGAAAAGTAAAGAGATTCCGAACAGATAATGGATTAGAATTCTGCAACAAGGAATTATCAGAATACTTCAGATCTGCAGGCATTAAACATGAAAAATCAAACGTGGAGACGCCTCAGATGAACGGGGTAGCTGAGAGAATAAACAGAACCCTATTGGATCTGACGAGATCAATGCTCAAATCGGCACATCTACCTCCAAAATTTTGGGCCGAAGCAGTCACTACAGCAGCATATATCAAAAACAGAGTATGTCATTCAACAATTCGTGATCAAATCCCATTCACCGTGTGGACCGAAAAGATTCCAAGCGTACGTCATTTAAAGGCTTATGGCTGCCTTGCCTATGCACGATTACCAGACCAAGGGCGAAAGAAGCTGGACGATAAAGCGGCGGAATGTATATTCGTCGGCTACGCCACGCAAACGAGAGGATATCGACTATGGTGCCCACAGAAGGGAGATGTCATCATAATAAAGCACGTTAAGTTTGCTGAAGATAAAATAGGACACGAGTGGATCTATAAAGAAGTGCCACAGAGATTCAAATATAATGAAGTTTGGCCGGGCGATGTAGACGACTCGACAACAGAAGAAATGGAGCCCGCACAAAAGCAATTAAGTTGTAAGAAGAAAAGTCCACCGAGATCGCCGAAAAGAACAGATGTAGAATTGGGAGATTCTTCGGAAAGAGAGACGGCAGAAGAACGAGAATCGACGGAAACTCCGAGAAGGGGCAGGCCCAAAAGGAAAGCTCGTAATCCTTACGGAAGAAAAGGAAAGCCTAAAGAAACCCAACAAATATGTGAAGAAGAGGAAGCGTCGACGGAAGCAAGTGATATAGAGGTAAACCTAATAGAAGTCAGGGAGCCGCAAGACATTAACGAAGCGCTGGCATCACCGCAATCTAAACAATGGAGGTGCGCAATAAAAGAAGAGGTAGATAGCTTAGTGCAACGAAAAACCTGGGAGATTACTCAGCTGCCTGAAGGGAAGAAATGCGTAGGATGCAAGTGGGTATTCAAACTGAAAGCAAATGCCGATGGTAAGATTACGAGGTACAAAGCTAGATTAGTGGCGCGAGGTTTCACACAACGAAAGGAAGTTGATTATGGCGAAACGTATTCACCTGTGGTAAACTTTTCAGTGATTAGATTACTATCAGCTCTGTCAGTAGAATATCAGTGGCACACCAGACACATTGATGTAAAAAATGCGTACCTATACGGAAACCTGCGAGAAGAGATATACATGGAGTTACCCCCTTTCACGAACGCTGAAAATGGAGAAGTGGCGAGGCTGCTGCGTCCCATCTATGGACTAAAACAATCAGGAAGGAACTGGAACGAAGAACTAGACACTTTTCTGATCGAAATAGGTTTTAAAAGGCTCAAATCTTCAAACTGCACATATCATAAGGAACATTGGCTAATAGCAATAATATACGTAGATGATATATTTCTATTTTCGAGAAAGTCAAACTCGATCACTGAAGTGGTTAAAACCATAACAAGGAAATATGAAGTCAAGGATTTGGGAGAGATACACTTCGCGTTAGGAGTGAAACTTGACTGGGGGCAGCCTGATACAGTGAAATTAACACAGGAGAACTACATTGAATCACTGCTTGAAAGATATAACATGCGAGAGAGTAGACCGGCGTCAACCCCCTTGAACCTAGGAATAAAAATGAGCAAAGAGGATTGTCCGAAAACACCAGGCGAAAAGGAAGACATGTCGCGCGTACCATATCGAGAGCTAATAGGATCATTGATGTATCTGGCTCAGAATACGAGGCCAGACATCGCTTTTGCTGTTTCAAAATTATCACAATATAATTCCAATCCAGGAAGGTCTCAATGGAATCAAGCGAAACACGTCCTGCGATACTTGGGTAAGACCAAGAACCTTGGATTGACATACAAAGCTGGAAACGAGCAACGGATTCAAGTTTATTGCGACGCAGACTGGGCAGGAGATCAAGATGACCGACATTCATACACCGGTGTTGCGGTCATGCTAGGAGGAAATCTCATCCATTGGCGATCAACGAAACAGACTGGCATATCAACTTCCACAATGGAAGCAGAATATGTGGCCCTGTCGACCGGAATCAAAGAAATAGTGTGGTTAGATATGTTTTTGTCAGAACTTGAACTTTCTTCTTTATTCACAGGTTGTCAAATGTTCTGTGACAATCGGGCAGCAATAGATTTCTCCAGAAACAGAGTGGAGAAAAACAGGACGAAACATATCGACATCGCCTACCATATTGTGAGGGAGAAAGTAGAGGATGGCCAGCTGGTCCTATCGTATGTGCCGTCCAACGAAAATCCTGCGGACATCCTTACCAAGGGATTAAAACGAATCTCACATAATCGTTGCCTGACCATTATGGGATAGGACATCGCAAAGTGGAAGATTGATGGATAGTTGCTTGTCCAATCAATTATGGCGCCCGGTGGATTACCGACCTACGAGTCACAGCCGATTAGTTATCGACATCTTTATGTTTAATATTCTGTTTGCTGCTAGGCGCGTTTTTTGTATTCATGCCCTACCGGCAATTTTTTTTCTTCTCTCTAACCATTTTTGTATACGATGTGTCGTCAAGTCTGTTTTTGACTAAATAAATCATCTTTCAATTATTTATTGGAATTCACTCATTCCCAACAGATTATATCTCTTTTCTTTATTTTTATGTAAAAATAAATTTTTAGTGCAAAAATGAAAATAAGAGGAATAATCTCCAATTTACCTTTATGTTGACAAATGTTATCCAGGACATAATCCTGAACAACATTTAAGAGGTTTTAGCCATTGGTCGGATACTTTAAATAATGCTGATGCCAATGATAATGTAACGCTTTTAAGCATTATAACTCAAAAAGTACTCAATAAAAAATAACTTTATTATAGCGTTTTGAAAAGCTCTCGATATCGGCTATTAGATTCTGAAATCAAAAGTAGGGAATT